CATCGATCAGCTGCCTCCTGCACACCTCCTACTGGGGATGTGCCCGCAACCAAGGTACATGCCCTTGACCGGAATCGAACCTGGGACCTTTCAGTCCGCAGGCCGATGCTCTATCCACTGAGCCAAACTGGTTAGGGATAGTATATATATATTTTTATCACAGATTTATTGAAATAGAATTCACATACCACGCAACTCACCCATTTAAAGTGTAAAATTAAGGGGTTTTTAGTATATTCACCGAATTGTGCAACTATCAAAAAAAAATTGTGCAACCATCACCATAATCAATTTTAGGACATTTTCTTCACCCTCAAAAGAAACCCTGTAATCTTTAGCAGTCCTTCTCCATTGCCTCTCACCCCCCACTCCCCCAGCCTTAAGCAACTGCTAATCTACTTTCTGTCTCCATGGATTTGCCGATTCTGGACATTTCATAGAAATGGTCTGTTGTGACTGGCTTCTTCCACTTAGCATCCTGTTCTTAAGGCTCAGGTTTCAGTGACTGCCTGACCCACCCCTGTGTTTGCGGACTTAAAACATGGGTGTAACCTGTGAAGTGCCAGACCCTTCTCTCCTCGGTAATGGGTTGCATCCTCTGGGGGTGTCACCCACCCCCACAGCCTGGGGCCTGTTTCTATGAGCAGCTCCCACCCTTCCTCTTCTCTCCCCCTTCCCTTCAGTGTGTTCCTGACAATGCTCCTGCTCTCCCGAGGAGAATCGGAGACGCTGGTTTTTGCTAAAGTCTGAATGGCTGATCAGTGGTCTACGAGGCTGACCCTCTGCTGTATTTAATCTCCTTCAGGGTACGGCCAACGGCATTTCAGGGACATGGCAGGTTCACGAGGGAGATATTTGGGGACGGGAGCTCTTCTGTTTTTCCGTGTATTCAATGTGGCCCAATTCAGCAAATACACTTCTTAAGTGAAGTTGTACTTATTAATGGAGATAATCAGAGCTTCCCCAGGGTGTGAAGGGTCAGTGATCACCGTGGCTGGTGTGACCTCCGCGGCAGGCCGGCTCCGGTGGCCAGAAGGCTGCACGCCGCTGTTGCCGGCTTTCCATGAGGCTGTCGCAGGGCTTGCAGAGACGCTCAGACACAGTCTTGCACTCTCGCGGGGAGACAGACAGGCTCATAAATAACTCACTCGCGGGCGGGCAGAGAGCAACACTGTGAACAAGGTTACGCAAAGCATCCTGGGAGCCTTGGAGCCGGCTTGGATTCTGGCTGGTGTTTGGGGACCGGTTCTCAGAGGCTGGTTTGAGCAGTTGGGGCGGGTGGGCAGGTCTGGAGTAGAGATGGAGGGAGAGCAGTGCAGGTCAGAGCAGAGCGGGAGGGAGGCTGTGAGATTAGAAAAGGCAGGCACGCTTCTAGAAACACAGGGTTGCGGGGGTTTATACGTGTAAATGGGGAGTGGGTGGCATGTAATGATGGGAAAGGCCGGAAGGGAGCAGGGTTGGAAGAAGCAGACGAGCAGTTTGCCTGATGTCTGATAGGCAGTGGAAGAGGCTACCCCTCTGGGGCAGCAGCGTGGGTGTTGGGAAGTGGAGGCTGGTGGGAGGGGGCAGAGGATGTGTGTGGAGCAGGCTGGTTAGGAGGAAACCAGATGCCTCCAGCTGAAGGTGCAAGGAAGGCCGGCCTCTGCTGCTTCCTGCGTGAACGACCTTGGGCAAGTTCATTTCCCTCCCCCAGCCTCTTCCTCCTCATCTGTAAAATGGGACCAACAAGGTCCAAGGGGTTTGATGTGGGGCTTGGAGGAGAACGTGCAGGGAGCGGGTGTGCCTGTCATTGGTGAAGGTGTAGGGCCCGGTAGACAGGCCGCTGAGGACGATGGGGAGGGAAGGTGACCGTGTGGCAAAGAGCTGCCCTCACATCTCACTGAGTCCTGCAACAGCCCTTCACAGCGGGCATCATTACCACTCCCACTTGACAGATGCGGAATCTGGGACTCGCTGTGGAAAATCACTCACCCACTAGTACAGCTGGGAAGTGGAATCCAGGTCGGGGGGCCTGCAGAGAGTGGAGGACGGTCCCTTCACCTGTCCCTGGGGGAAGGGGTAGAGGGGGAGGGGAGGGGAAGGTGGCTGGGTCTTGGCGGCAGCAAGGACGTGGGGGTGTGCCTGTGGCTGCGGCTGTTTGTCCCCCCCTGTTGGCAGGGGTGAGCGGTGGGTGAGGAGAGAACTTGGGTGGGGATGGTTCCTGTGTGGGCCTATTCCTCTCTCAGCCTAGGGACCTGTGTGCGCCTCGTGGGGTCCAGCCTGGGAGTGAGGGGTCACCACCATTGGCCTTGACCAGTCTGTGCCTGCTCTGGGCCTCGTGTCCTCATGTGTGAAATACAGCTGTTGGACCAATGAGTGACCTCTTGTGTTTGTTTTTTGTCCTAATGCCCTAAGACTCCATCATCAGCAGAGTTCACACACACACACACACACACACACACACACACACACTAGTTACTTCTTGAAAGAATAATATATTTCCATGGTTCAAGTTCAAAAAGCACTAAAGCATTTACAATGCTCCCCAGCCACTCACTTCTCTTCTTAAAAAAGATTTTTTTAAAAAAAATTGATTTTAGAGAGAGAGAAACATTGATGAGAGAGAGAAACATCAACATAGGTTGCCTCCTGCATGACCCCCAGTGATTGAGCCCATAACCCAGGCATGTGCCCTGACCAGGAATCGAACCGGTGACTTCCTGGTGCATAGGTTGACGCTCAACCACTGAGCACACCGGCCGGGCTCACTTCTCTTCTTTGGAGGCAACTGGTGTTATTAGTTGCTCCCACAGAGATGGCAAGAGCGTGTCATTCAAGGCTGAGTCCCAAGGAGCCCAAGGACAGGGAAAGGCATGGAAACTTGTTGTCAGAATAGGATGGGATTAACCAGGGTGGGCTTCCTGGAGGAGCCGAGTTTTGAGGTAGATTTTACAGGAGGGGTATCATGTTGGGGCAGGAAGCAGGTCCCAGAGGAGAATCATGTCCAAAGTTAAAGTCGGGATCGTCCCTCCCAAACATGTGCTTGTCCAGCGTGAATGGCACCGAGGCCAGTGCCTGCACAAACCAGGACCTGGGGAACAACCTTGCCGCCCGACTCCCTGTCACCCATGTCCAACCCATCACCCGGAGCGCAGCCAGTGCTGCCTTCTTAGCCCACTTGAGAGCCCACCCATTTCACTCCCTCTCCAGCACCATCCCCTTTACAAGGCACCACCGATCCGCCCGGACCCCCGCAACAGCATCTAGCCCGTCTGCCTTGCTCTTTCCCACTCAGCAGCCCGGATGGTCTTCCCAAAGTGCCCATCAGATCCTGCGGAGGAGAGTGAAGGAAACAGGCAGGAGCCAGATGCTCTGATATGGGAGGCCTGGGAGCAAGGAAAACACTCTTTTCTCCAGCAGCCGCGCCTTCTGGGAAATCTCCTGCTCCAGCCAATAGCCTCGGCCCCATGGGGCAGTATCCGAGCAGCTGCACAATTTTTTTTCCTCTTAGCACTTTACAGTTTGTAATCACACACACACACACACACACACACACACACACTTGTAATAGGTAAAACCTCTCTTGTATGAAAAGATAACATTGTTAAAAACGTCACCTTCCTCAGCCCCCACTCACCCAGTTCCCCCTTCTCCCCACCCAAGCTAATAATAACGATTTTTATGAGCTTTTGTGTCTCCAGAGCAGTGGTCGGCAAACTCATTAGTCAACAGAGCCAAATATCAACAGTACTACGATTGAAATTTCTTTTGAGAGCCAAATTTTTTAAACTTAAACTATATAGGTAGGTACATTGTTATTAACTTAATTAGGATACTCCTAAGGCTTAGGAAGAGCCACACTCAAGGGGCCAAAGAGCCGCATGTGGCTTGCGAGCCACAGTTTGCCGGCCACGGCTCCAGAGTTTCTGTATATAAAGATAAGCAAATACGAATTTATACTTCATTCCTTCCCTCCCCCTTTTAACATAAAGTACACATACTGCTCTTCTGCACCTGATTTTTTACCTGAAGACTGTGTCTTGCAGATTTTTGCATGAGAGCACTCAGGGAACGCCCTCATTGGAAATATATTTTTTTTAATATGGCTGCACCATAGTTTATTTAACCAGCCCCTGACTGATGAGAGCTTGGGCTTTTGTTATAAACAATGCCACAGACAACCGTGTCCACATGCTGGAATGTAGTCATTCTCCAAAAGGGGATCGTTGGGCTACCGGGTAATTGTAACTTAGACATTGTCGGGTTGCCCTGCAGAAGGGTTGTACCCCTCCCTCTCCCACTCCCAGTGGTAACGTATAAAGGGGCCTGATGGTTTCTCTCCCACAAAACAGTAAACTCCAGGAGGGCAGGGATTAAGTCTCTCTTGTTCATCATCATAGGCACGCAATACATGTTGAGTTAATCAATGGATTCATGGTTCTACCAGGAGGGGGTGGCCAGAGCGGGAGAGATCCTTTTGTGTTCACCGTGCCCCGTCCAGCTTTCCCTGCCCTTACCCGAGGCTGATTGCCTATCTGGAAGGTGGCTGGGACCCTTGAGGTTCTGGAAGACCTAAGCCTGGCATTTGGCTCATGACACCCTCTCCAGAGCAGCCCTTCTCCTGCTGTGAAATCAAGAAGCCCAGTGTCTCAGTACTGTAGGGGACTTGGAGAATGGACCCTTGCCTGATGTTTGAATTCCCTGCCCACACTCTGCTTACATACCTCCCGTGACAGAGAACTCACTCCTTCCAACGGGCTCCTTTCAACTCCCGACAACTGACTTTTAGAAAGCTGTTCCATCTATGGAGTTGAAACTTGCTCTCTGTAGCTGCCTCCTCTTCAGGGAATTCTCATTGTGGCCCTCTGGGAACTGGTCTTTCTGGCAGTGAGCGGGGGGTGGGGGGGGGTAGTGGGGGACAGGTACTCCACGTCTATCTTTTTCCACCAAGCCAGGCCAGTTCCCCAAGAGAGCTCTGCAGAGCCCTGCCCACCTCCCTCCTTCTCTCTCCTGCCCTGCAGGTACGTGCAGGAAGGGCGTTTCCGAATTGAGGAGAGGACGCTGACAGCCTTCCAGTGGCTCTACAGCCCCCAGCAGCATCGCATCCTCGGCCGTGCTGACCTGGAGTCTCCCTCCCGGTGAGTGATCCGCAGCCCGGAATCCCATTCTTTGGCCCCCACAGGTGGTACTTATGCAGCCACACTGGCCCATAAGCCCACATTGGGGTCCCCTTGCCCTCAGTGCTGGGGAGGCCTCCCAGGGTCCTGTGAAGAGTTTGTCCGGCACCGAATGATCTGAGGCAGCTCACGACTCCTGCTTTGTCCTCTGTAAAATGGGTAGGATCCTAGTTTCCCTCCCTTCTCTGAGGGAGATCATGGTTCTCAAGTGGAATGATGCCTGCAGAGATTCTCAAAGCCTGGAGATCGGCTGGTTCCTCTTTAAGAAGGAGAAGGGCAGCCCCTGCTTTGACCCGGGTGGAGGCAGCCCTGCCTTCCCTGTCTCTTTCCTCCCCCATGCTAGAGAAGCCAGCTGGGACCCGCAGTCTGGGCGACCGGCTGGGCGCTGAGGGCTTTTCCGGGCCCAGATTCCTGCTCCCAGGCTCCTGCCCACTCTTCATTCGTACCGTGGACAGGTGTGACCGGTGCTAGTGGTCTCAACAGAGATATCCTGGGTGGCCCTGCTGCCGCCACACCCCTTCCCAAGGCTCCCGCTAGACCTGATCCTGGGCCTTTCTTCCCACTTTCCCCATCAGCACCTCCTTGCACTAGATTCTAAGTGAGCAGGAGCCTTGGTGCCTGTCCTCCGGGTGGTTGAAGGAAAGAGGGACGGAAGTGATGTCGTCTGGGGGGTACGCCGTGGGCTGGCCAACTGGAGAACAGGGATGATGCTCTTACGCAGCTCCCCGAACCGGCCCCAGGAATAAAGTGTAGACGTGATGGATGCCTGCACCTCAGCGGACATCTGCCAGGAATCCTAATTAGCTAAGAGCCGTGCATCTGCTCCCTCTTATCTCATTGATGACTTCAGACGGTACAGGAAGCAGTGAGGTGGACGGGTACTCTGGGCCCAGTTCTGTCCCAAGAGAAAGAAAGAATTAAATGATGATGTGGGCACGACAGGAGCTCTGGGAAAGGTGACTCAGGCCACCCGGGAACTCCTGATGTTCAGGGAATGGTGCCTCGGACTCCAAAATAACGTAGAGAAAGGGTAGAAATTCCTCTAGAGCAAGCATGTCAAACTCGTGGCCCGCGGGCCGCATGTGGCCCACAACGAATGTTTTTGCAGCCCAGCCAATACTAGTATAATGGTATGTAAGAAACGTTTTAATAAAATTTCATAACTTAATTTTTACAATCTCCTGTTATACATAATTATTAATAACAAACTACAATGTTCGCTAATGACTAAATACAATAATTGTGTTGCATTCATTTCCCTTATGTGCCTTACGTACAGGCGCACCATTTTTCTCCACTAATACTAGCAGCGAGTATTTTAGCAGCTGATTGTCATGTCATTAGTCTTGGACTGACTTGTTTGGTGTGCAAAACAGGAAATATTTCGCTTTCGGAGAACAAGAAAAATAGGTTTATTTGCGTTACGCTTATTAATTTGTGTAGAGTTATTGAGTGTCTGGTAAGTTAATGTTTAAGAAAAAATATTAATTTTTATTAAAATGTTCTATTATTTTATGCTAATAATTACTCGTTTATTTCAGCCCTTGTATTCAGCATGCCTCTATCGAAATAAACCTACATTTCTTTTTAAATATATTTTTATTGATTTCAGAGAGGAAGGGAGAGGCAGAGAGAGATAGAAACATCAATGATGAGAGATAATCATTGATCCGCTGCCTCCTGCATGCCCCCTACTGGGGATCGAGCCCGCAACCCCAGGCATGTGCTCTTGACTGGAATGGAACCCGAACCCTTCAGTCCGCAGGCTGACGCTCTATCCACTGAGCCAAACCAGCTAGGGCTAAACCTAAGTTTCTATGAAAATTGAAGCTTTTGTGGCCCGCATGAACTTAAACCTTGTTTATTTGGCCCGTGTTAGCCTTTGAATTTGACATGCTTGCTCTAGAGCTTGAGACAAGAGTGTTGGGAAGGGCGCAGGAATGAAATTCTGAGTGTACAGCTGTGCATGTCTGCAGGGAAAAAGAAAGAGGCCATTGTGGCTGCCTTAGGAGCACCCTAGGACACCCCGACAGAAGGGGACGTGGATTCATTTTCAGGCAACCTGCGAAGCTTACTGTGTGCCAAGTGCCCTCTGACAGAAGGAGCTTCTCCCTCATCTTCTTTCCTGCAGAGCTCTCACCACCAGCAGACATGATCTCATTGGTCTGTTTGTTCACCGTCCTGTGGCCTCCTGGGATGTAAGCTCCATGAGGGCAGGGCCTTTTCCACGTTGTTTTCCTCTGTCTCCTGGGGTCCTAGCCCCGAGAAGGAGCTCACTGAATGGAAGACAAATGAACAGAACGCAGCTCAGAACCTGTGGGAAGGCTAGTAGGGAGGCTAGCCCGAGACTGAGGTGGGCCAGCTACATCTGCCCAAGAAAAGAGCGAAGGAAGAATAGAGGGTGAGACCTCCTGCCTGTTCAAATGGCCTGAGGCTAATGGAGCTGCTCTGTTTTCTGAGCCAAAGAACAAGGGTGCTCTTTGGAATCACAGGAGCAGAGCAGAGTCTGCGGATGAGGAAGCGATCAGAAGACAGGATGCAGCCCTGACTGGTTTGGCTCAGTGGGTGGAGCGTTGGCCTGCGGACTGAAGGGTCCCAGGTTCGATTCCGGTCAAGGGCATGTACCTTGGTTGTGGGCACATCCCCAGTTTGGGGTGTGCAGGAGGCAGCTGATCGATGTTTCTCTCTCATCGATGTTTCTAACTCTCTATCCCTCTCCCTTCCTCTCTGTAAAAAATCAATAAAATATATTAAAAAAAAAAAGACAGGATGCAGCCATTTGAGGTAACTTCAGCTTTCACACTTGGGAAGGCTGCATCCCAGGTTGCTTACAGAGGAGGCTGCCACCACTCCATGACTGTACTAATTTTTATGATAGACTATTAATTGTTAATTTAAAAATATATATATTTATTGATTTCAGAGAAGAAGGGAGAGGGAGAGAGATAGAAACATCATTGATGAAAGAGAATCATTGATTGGTTGCCTCCTGGATGCCCTCAACTGAGCCCGCAACCCGGGTATGTGCCTTTGACCAGAATCGAACCTGGGACCCTTCAGTCCACAGGCCAACGTTCTGTCTACTGAGCCAAACCACCTAGGGCTATTAATCGTTAATTTTTGAGTGCTTATTATATGTCATGTTGTAAATGCTTTGCAGGAAAAATTGATTTACTCTTCATAACAATGCTGCAATCTTGGTGCTATTGTTCTCCCCATGTTTCAGATGACAAAACCGAGGTGCAGAGGTTAAATAAAAACAGCTAGTAAGTGGCAGTGCTCACAACTACTGTGCACACTGCTTCTGAGAGAATAGAGCATGTGCCAAAGGCAGGAGACAGGGAAGGTGCTTTCTACCTTTACTAAGAGGAAATAAGTCCATAGACCATAAACAAGTCCTGGACAAGCTTTAGAGTCTGTTATTAAAGAGACTAGAGGCCCGATGCACAAAGTTCGTGCAAGAGTAGGCCTTCGCAGCCCCGGCTGCCTCACGGCTCCAGTTGCCTCTCGGCCCCGCCCACTGGTCATTGGAAGGTCGTTCTGCCCTCTGGTCTAATTAGCATATTAGCTCTTTGTTACATAAGATGGTGTGGGGGCACCTAGAAAAGGGCGGCGAGTGGATGCCCCGAGAATCCACCCTGCTGGGGAAAGCTTATTTGCTTTTCTGATTAATTTTCCAGACTAGAAATATGTAAGAGTTGTGAGATTCAGCAATAAATGTTTCTTTCCCCCCCCAGAAAAGCCTTGTAGGTGACAGAGGAATGTGAGCTAGGGGTGGGGGGTTGATGAGCGACTGCCATTGGTTGAGTCCTGCTCGATGTGTTTATGAGTGGCTTGGTGAGGAAGGCTGTGGACAGCATGCTGGTGCCACTGCTGATGGCAGGAACCTGGGCACCATCCCAACAGTCGAGATGTCAGAATTGGGACCCATACTGCCCTGGGGGCTGGATCCAGGTCTAGGAGGTTCACTTCAGCTGGGATAAAGAAGTCCATTTTGGCCTCCAATCCTGTCTGTGCCTGGGCAGGGGGTGAGGGAATCAGAGCTGTCTGGGGAGTTCCAATAGACTAGAAGCTTGGGAATGGCCCTGCGTTTTAGGTTTTAAGAAAATGCTCACATCGTGGATCTGCAAGAGCTCAGGGCAGAGTCCAGAACAGGGGAGGGCAGGACCTGCTGTTTGGAGTCTCAGACTTTCGGAGGAATGTTCCTGTGTCTGTTCATTTATTTGGCGGACAGGGATGGAGCACCGGTCCTCTGCCTACACCGTGCCAGATGTTACCCTTGAACAGCTGAGCAGACCGCCTTTCGGGTGATGGACCAGGCTGCCGAAGGGACTCAGACCATGGGCTGGCCACCCAGTCTCCCTCCCACCCTGCTGTAGGTCAGGCCCTGGGGTTACAGTGCCTTGTCTCCATGCAGACAAGGGCCCTGCCTCCATGGGGCACACATTCTAGTGGGGGAGACAGACTATAGACACACAGACAAGAAAATGTCAGAGTGAACTTTTCAGATGCTGAGGAAACTGAAACGGGGCATCGAGGGGAAGAGTGACTAGTGGGTGTGAGGGACTCGGAGAGGTGGAAGTTCTCTCTGACAAGGTGACATTTGGGCTGAGTCCTGAAGGACACAAGGGGGTAGCCGCGTGGAAAAGGTGCTGGCTAGGGGTGTTGAATGGATGGGGGGTGGGGAGTGGGAGGGGCTCAGGAGATGGGGTGGAAGAGTATTCCTGCAGGTAGAACAGCTGGTGCAAGGCCCTAATTATGTTCTAGAACAGCCATGGGCAAACTACGGCCCGCAGGCTGGATCCGGCCTGTTTGAAATGAATAAAACTAAAAAAAAAAAAAAGACCATACCCTTTTATGTAATGATGTTTACTTTGAATTTATATTAGTTCACACAAACACTCCATCCATGCTTTTGTTCAGGCCCTCCGGTCCAGTTTAAGAACCCATTGTGGCCCTCG